TGGTGCGCAAGGAGGCACAGAGCGAAGCACGCTCGACATTCCATTTGAGAGACAGAGGAGCGCGTGCGATTTAGAGAACACGCGTGCGTGAGCAGCAAACACCAACTTGGGAGGTAAGGTTTGGAAGTACGTTGAACTTCTTTTGCACCGTACATAGCCAACCGTGCTAATCGGAGGTGCGGGGTGAACGACAACAAGCTAGACACCAAAAAAGCAGTTCTAAAGAAAGTCGTTTTTCAATCTAGATCTTAAAGTGCATAGTTCCAGTGGCTTCCGAATATCGGAAGGAGGAGCGTTCCAGACGGTCACGGAAGCGCATCTGAAAGCGTGCAATGCTTTGACCGCCTTTGTTCGATAGCCAGCAGCCAAAAGCCGCTGCTGCGAGGGTGACCGGAGTTCGTGTGATGGTTTATGCTCCTTAACGAGATCAGCGAGGCATTGTGGTTCATTACGTCACCACAAATGGGACATTGACTTTGGCCTTGAGCGAATTCTGCACTTTAGACTTGGCTCTCTCCGAGTTACAAAGCCAAGGCAACTACTCCCCCGCCACCCACTCACCCTGAGCGTGCTGGAATGCACCCACGCCTGGCCAGTAACTCACAGGTACCGCCTCACACGTGTCACAGGATGGAGTAAAACCGAGCCTAGCAGAATGTAACTGCACGAGGCACATCGCAGCAGGGGGCTGCCGTTGTACTGACTCATCATCATTAGCATCAGCCATGATCACTCCACTGCTGGATGAAGGCCTCCCTCCCGATTCTGTCGCATCTCTCACAATCCTTGTCATCATCGCAATCGTCAGCCAACGATCAATCCACCGCCGTATTAAAGCCCCCACGAGCCGTTGCCATCTCTCGTCGGTAACTTGACGCAGCAGTGTCACGTGACACCCGCGCACGAGCCCATTGGATCGCTCCGTCTCCTTCGGTGGACGTGCCTTCTCGGAATGCGTTCCTCGTGATGCCACTCCGCAATTAGATTTTGATGACGCCGAGGATAAGATGAGGCCCCCGCCCCTCGTTGTCCTGCTGCCGTCCATAAGAAATAACGCGGCCACGTTGCTTGACTCCTTTTGAGTTAAATTTTGATTTGAAGCTTTCGTGACTGCAGGGATTCATATAATTTGGTTCTTTCGGTAAAGTCACGTAGAAGGGAAACAATAAAATAATAGAAATATAAAACAATAAATTTCTCACGACGTTTCGACTGTAACGCAAGCAATCATCATCAGGTGTGGAAACCACAGCAAGAAAAAATATTGCTGTGGTTTTCACACCTGATGATGATTGCTTGAAAGAAAATTTTCTTGCTGTGGTTTTCACCCCTGATGATGATTGCTTGCGTTGCAGTCGAAACGTCGTGAGAATTTTATTGTTTTATATTTTAAATTATTTTATTGTTTCCCTTCTACGTGGTGACTTTACCGAAAGAACCAAGAATATCCTTTTGAGTTCCTTCCGCCAATTCAAATCAAAGTCAAAACCAAACCCGGTCACTCAATTCGCGGTGCACGTAGCACGCCTCTCTATCACTGTAAACACCACGGGCTCACGACAGCTCAAATAACCATTGCACATCCTAACGATCTGTTTACTCGATGTAATCGTACGGTGCGGTCATGCGTCAATCCACTGCTGGATGAAGATCACCGTCCCACGCCGCCTTGTCAGCGGATTATGGAGCAGTGCTGCGACATCCGTTTGTTGTCCTGTAGTCACGGCCACACTTCTACGGCCCCGGCCTCAGCGTGGTGAAGTATGCTCAAAATAAATCGCCGTGACTTGTTTCAATATCATCATCAATCATCGTCGTCCCGAGTGGCGATGTTTACATATCACACCAGATCCAGTACTCGTCTGAGGCTGAGTCGACCTATGGGAGGCTCAGAACTGGTTCAGATGATCACCACTGGTGTTGGTCGTGAGCAGGAGTCGAACTCGGGTGGACGGGTCGTCGGTAGTAGCGCAGCGCGCTAAACCGCTGCGCCACCGCTCCGCACACAACAACAACCGCCAGTCGCCACTAAGTGGCGATGACGTCACCACGACGCACACACATACACACACATATACATACACACACATATACACACACATATACATACACATACGCACACATACACACAGCAACAACCGCCATTCGCAACTAAGCGGCGATGACGTCACCACGACGCACACACATACACACATACATACACACATATACATACACACATATATACACACACATACACACATATACATACACAACAACCGCCATTCGCCACTAAGTGGCGGTGACGTCACCACGACGCTTGTGCCAGGCTATGTGCACCCTGAGGCCACGTGAAGTGTCGAACGCCCGCTGGCAGGAGGTCACGGTGCAGACCCAGGTGCCACGGGTCGACTGACTGAGATGACTGGCTGATGCACCACCTGTTCCCCCTACTGTGCCAACCTGCTGTGCTTTAGCCACCCGGCGCTCCGCTCGCTGTTGTGAGCGTCGCTCCTCCGCCCTCCGTTGTTGTTGGAGGGCGACTGCCTCCAACTGCCCAGTAGCGTCCTTCACGAGCCTCCTCCACAGAGGCCGATCTTGACACCGCTGGTACCAGTCATCGGCAAGTCCACTCAGCTCCACGTCCTCCTGTACCACATCACTCCATCTCTTCTCTAGCCCGTGCCGCGCCCGCTTAGCCCCCTCAATCCGGCCAAACAAAAGCTGTTTCGGCATGCGGTGGCTGGGCATGCGGGCTACATGACCCAGCCATCGCAGCCTTGCCTGCCGGAGGAGCTCACCGATGGGACCCTGCCCAGATCTTTCAAGGATTTGTGAGCTCCTCACACAATCCAGTCTGGTTAAACCCAGGATGGATCGTAGGCAGGCCAGCCTAAATGTTTCTAACCGGCGAAGATGTTCCATTAGGGGGGTCCACGTTTCGCAAGCGTAGAGAAGGGAGGGAATGACCGTGGCCGAGAAAACCTGAAGCTTAGTGCGGAGCGACAGACCAGGTAGCTTCCACACAGCGTTACGCAACCGATGAAAATATATTGCCGCTCGACTGATTCGGAGTGAGACGTCTGCTGTTAAACTGGAGCCAGTCATAAGCATACATACACACACACATACAAAGACAAAGATCCCCCGTATAGCCTTAACAGACTGTAGGGACAAGTGCTGTTAGCGAGCACCTTACACACACACACGCCTGACCTACACCGTGGCACCACCGGTTTTAACTACTTCGCCTGATTTGCAAGGAGGACCTGGGTTCGACCCCGGCCCTGACGCCTGCTGTATACTGGGAGTTCGTGGTGTCTCTCTCCGTGGGCGCGTGGATTTTTTCTCCTGATCCTCTGATTTTCCCCTCCACATTTGGAATCAACATCACGCGTTTAGCGTATTTGGCTGTTGTAAGTATCCACGTGATGATCACCCACTTCGTTGAGCTATCATTTGTGGCCAGTTCGCTTCTGTAGAAGCGCTACACAGCTCAGTGGACCTTGGTGTCAAAACCAACATTGTATTCTACGCATGACATCATTAAATAATGATTTTGCATTGTATCACGTGGCCGTTCAGTGTTGACTCGCTCTCGACTTAATGACGAGGAACCACCCGCGAGCAGGAAAGGCAACAGCCAGATGAGCCAGGTAAGGCTCACCCGGTAAAATAAATAAATAAAAAGTAAATTCGTCCTAGTTAATTATTCGTGAATTCATTTTGTGTGGTAGGCAACGTCCATGCGTTATTGCGCGTGTCCGAGCTAACACTGCGCCACACCTGGGACTTACCTGCGACTAACACCGGAGTACTGCTGGGACTTACCTGCGACAAACACCACGGCACTGCTGAGACTTACCTGCGACTAACACCACGGCACTGCTGAGACTTACCTGCGACTAACACCACGGCACTGCTGAGACTTACCTGCGACTAACACCACGGCACTGCTGAGACTTACCTGCGACTAACACCACGGCACTGCTGAGACTTACCTGCGACTAACACCGCAGTACTGCTGAGACTTACCTGCGACTAACACCATGGCACTGCTGGAACTTACCTGGGACTAACACCGCAGTACTGCTGAGACTTACCTGTGACTAACACCACGGCACTGCTGAGACTTACCTGTGACTAACACCACGGCACTGCTGAGACTTACCTGTGACTAACACCACGGCACTGCTGGGACTTACCTGTGACTAACACCACGGCACTGCTGAGACTTACCTGTGACTAACACCACGGCACTGCTTAGACTTACCTGTGACTAACACCGGAGTACTGCTGAGACTTACCTGTGACTAACACCGGAGTACTGCTGAGACTTACCTGTGACTAACACCACGGCACTGCTGAGACTTACCGCTACGTTCCCACGCACGCGATTCCAATTGCGCCCCACGATTTTGTGTCACTTTCCGATGCAGGGATCGATTCATTGTTTTGTCGTTTTTAATGCAACTGACTCAATTGTATGTTTGGGACTGTCTCGTTTTTGCTATCTCGTCTATATTGTCTTCAATGCACAGTATTATTATTATTTTTACCAGGTAAGGCCCACTGAGCTATATAGCTATTTTTCAGAAGCAACCTGGCTATCACAAATGATAGCTCAGCGAAGTGGCTTATCACGTGCAAATGTATAGCAGCCAAATACTCTAAACGAGTGTTGTTGATTCTAACTGTGGAGGGAAATACCGGAGGACTCCGAGAAAAAATCCAAGCGACCACGGGGAGAGAGAGAGAGAGACACGCAAACTCAAAATATAGAGCAGCAGGCGTGAAAGTCGGGATCGAACCCATGCCCTCCTGTATACCGGGCGAGGTAGTTAACGTCTTGTAGCCACCTGTGGCGCCCAGTGAACGAAAACTTCAGCGATGGCGACGATGCGGGAGAATGCTTCCATTCATCCAGCAGTAAATAGCTCATGCCCGGAATGGATGATGATGATGATGAAGATGATGATGGTTGTGGTGGTGGTGGTGGTAACGGTGAATATTATCCGTACCTGTACGGACGGGACGCGTGGTTCATTTTGATCGACGAGACGACTGCGTCGCGACTTCCACGGCGCGGTGCTTCTCGTACAACCCAGGGCGCGCTCTCTCTCCCTCCCTCGCTCTGTCCGTTTCCACGTGGGCTGTCTGTTGTCTTGAGTCATTCCGAGAAAAAAGGGCGTAGCAAGCGCCACACGCTCTTGGGATTTCCCCCTCTCTGACCTCCCCCCCTTCCCCCCACCCCCACCTTGCTGTTCCCCACACCACTTCCTTCCCCGATGTATGTACTATGTTGGACTTCTTTCGCACCGTTCGTAGCCAACCGTGCTAATCGGAGGTGCGTGTGGTGGACAACAAACTGAACGCTAAAAAGTAGTTCTGAAGAAAAAAAAATGCAAAATCTAGATTATTTAAAAGTGCACACCTCTCAGTGGCTTCCTCATATGGAAAGGAGGAGCGTTCCAGACGGCCGCAGAAGCGCATCTGAAAGCGCGCGATGCGGTGACCGCCGCCTTTGTCCGAGGGTCAGCCAGAAGCAGCTGCTGCTGCTGCTGCTGCAAGGATGAGCGCAGTTCGCGTGATGGTTTATAATCCTTGACGAGATCGGAGAGGTGTTGTGGTTCGCTGGGTGTTTGTGCGTAAGCACTCTGCGAGTAACGGGCGCCACCTTTTAACGCTGCGTTCGTTCGCCATGCGGAAGCCAAGGCGGCTCGACAAGCACCGTACGGACACGTTGCGATCTTGCGGTTTCCCGTCACGACACACGCGGTGTGCCCGAGAATGTTGAGGCGACGGGAGACGCGCCAGCCGAGGGCGAGTCGATTGCGCGATAAGCGCTCGAGTCATCGGCTGGGATAGCGAGTGGGCCCCACGGCCATGTCTCGTCTCTGCCAGGTGTAACACCTGGGACAAGTGTAACACCTGGGACAAGTGTAACATCTGGGACAAGTGTAACAGCTGGGACAAGTGTAACACCTGGGGAAAGTGTAACACCTGGGACAAGTGTAACACCTGGGGCAAGTGTAACACCTGGGGCAAGTGTAACAGCTGGGACAAGTGTAACACCTGGGACAAATGTAACACCTGGGACAAGTGTAACACCTGAGACAAGTGTAACAGCTGGGACAAGTGTAACACCTGGGACAAGTGTAACAGCTGGGACAAGTGTAACACCTGGGACAAGTGTAACACCTGGGACAAGTGTAACACCTGGGACAAGTGTAACACCTGGGACAAGTGTAACACCTGGGGCAAGTGTAACACCTGGGGCAAGTGTAACACCTGGGGCAAGTGTAACACCTGGGGCAAGTGTAACACCTGGGGCAAGTGTAACACCTGGGGCAAGTGTAACACCTGGGACAAGTGTAACACCTGGGACAAGTGTAACACCTGGGGCAAGTGTAACACCTGGGGCAAGTGTAACACCTGGGACAAGTGTAACACCTGGGGCAAGTGTAACACCTGGGACAAGTGTAACACCTGGGACAAGTGTAACACCTGGGGAAAGTGTAACACCTGGGACAAGTGTAACACCTGGGGCAAGTGTAACACCTGGGACAAGTGTAACACCTGGGACAAGTGTAACACCTGGGGCAAGTGTAACACCTGGGACAAGTGTAACACCTGGGGCAAGTGTAACAGCCTGGACAAGTGTAACACCTGGGACAAGTGTAACAGCTGGGGCAAGTGTAACACCTGGGGCAAGTGTAACACCTGGGGAAAGTGTAACACCTGGGACAAGTGTAACACCTGGGGCAAGTGTAACACCTGGGACAAGTGTAACACCTGGGGCAAGTGTAACAGCTGGGACAAGTGTAGCAGCTGGGACAAGTGTAACAGCTGGGGCAAGTGTAACACCTGGGACAAGTGTAACAGCTGGGACAAGTGTAACACCTGGGACAAGTGTAACACCTGGGACAAGTGTAACACCTGGGACAAGTGTAACACCTGGGGCAAGTGTAACACCTGGGACAAGTGTAACACCTGGGGCAAGTGTAACAGCCTGGACAAGTGTAACACCTGGGGCAAGTGTAACAGCTGGGACAAGTGTAACACCTGGGACAAGTGTAGCAGCTGGGACAAGTGTAACACCTGGGGCAAGTGTAACACCTGGGGCAAGTGTAACACCTGGGACAAGTGTAACACCTGGGGCAAGTGTAACACCTGGGACAAGTGTAACAGCTGGAACAAGTGTAACACCTGGGGCAAGTGTAACACCTGGGGCAAGTGTAACGGCTGGGACAAGTGTAACACCTGGGTCAAGTGTAACACCTGGGGCAAGTGTAACACCTGGGACAAGTGTAACACCTGGGGCAAGTGTAACACCTGGGGAAAGTGTAACACCTGGGGCAAGTGTAACACCTGGGACAAGTGTAACACCTGGGGCAAGTGTAACACCTGGGGCAAGTGTAACACCTGGGGCAAGTGTAACAGCTGGGACAAGTGCAACACCTGGAGAAAGTGTAACAGCTGGGACAAGTGTAACACCTGGGGCAAGTGTAACACCTGGGTCAAGTGTAACACCTGGGACAAGTGTAACACCTGGGGCAAGTGTAACACCTGGGACAAGTGTAACACCTGGGGCAAGTGTAACACCTGGGGAAAGTGTAACAGCTGGGACAAGTGTAACACCTGGGACAAGTGTAACACCTGGGGCAAGTGTAACACCTGGGGAAAGTGTAACAGCTGGGACAAGTGTAACACCTGGGACAAGTGTAACACCTGGGGCAAGTGTAACACCTGGGGCAAGTGTAACAGCTGGGGCAAGTGTAACACCTGGGACAAGTGTAACACCTGGGGCAAGTGTAACACCTGGGGCAAGTGTAACACCTGGGGAAAGTGTAACAGCTGGGACAAGTGTAACACCTGGGACAAGTGTAACACCTGGGGCAAGTGTAACACCTGGGGCAAGTGTAACAGCTGGGGCAAGTGTAACACCTGGGACAAGTGTAACACCTGGGGCAAGTGTAACACCTGGGACAAGTGTAACAGCTGGAACAAGTGTAACACCTGGGGCAAGTGTAACACCTGGGGCAAGTGTAACGGCTGGGACAAGTGTAACACCTGGGGCAAGTGTAACAGCTGGGACAAGTGTAACACCTGGGACATATGTAACACCTGGGACAAGTGTAACACCTGGGACAAGTGTAACACCTGGGACAAGTGTAACACCTGGGACAAGTGTAACACCTGGGGCAAGTGTAACACCTGGGACAAGTGTAACACCTGGGACAAGTGTAACAGCTGGGACAAGTGTAACACCTGGGACAAGTGTAACACCTGGGACAAGTGTAACACCTGGGGCAAGTGTAACACCTGGGACAAGTGTAACACCTGGGACAAGTGTAACACCTGGGGCAAGTGTAACACCTGAGACAAGTGTAACACCTGGGACAAGTGTAACACCTGGGACAAGTGTAACACCTGGGGCAAGTGTAACACCTGGGACAAGTGTGATACCTGGGACAAGTGTAACAGCTGGGACAAGTGTAACACCTGGGGCAAGTGTAACACCTGGGACAAGTGTAACACCTGGGACAAGTGTAACACCTGGGGCAAGTGTAACACCTGGGGCAAGTGTAACAGCTGGGACAAGTGTAACACCTGGGACAAGTGTAACAGCTGGGACAAGTGTAACATCTGGGACAAGTGTAACACCTGGGACAAGTGTAACACCTTGAGCAAGTGTAACACCTGCGACAAGTGTAACACCTGGGACAAGTGTAACACCTGGGACAAGTGTAACACCTGGGGCAAGTGTAACACCTGGGCAAGTGTAACACCTGGGACAAGTGTAACACCTGGGACAAGTGTAACACCTGGGACAAGTGTAACACCTGGGGCAAGTGTAACATCTGGAACAAGTGTAACAGCTGGGACAAGTGTAACACCTGGGACAAGTGTAACACCTGGGACAAGTGTAACACCTGGGACAAGTGTAACACCTGGGGCAAGTGGAACACCTGGGACAAGTGTAACACCTGGGGCAAGTGTAACACCTGGGACAAGTGTAACACCTGGGGCAAGTGTAACACCTGGGACAAGTGTAACACCTGGGACAAGTGTGACAGCTGGGACAAGTGTAACATTTGGGGCAAGTGTAACATCTGGAACAAGTGTAACAGCTGGGACAAGTGTAACACCTGGGACAAGTGTAACAGCTGGGGCAAGTGTAACACCTGGGACAAGTGTAACACCTGGGACAAGTGTAACACCTGGGGCAAGTGTAACACCTGGGGCAAGTGTAACACCTGGGGCAAGTGTAACACCTGGGACAAGTGTAACACCTGGGGCAAGTGTAACACCTGGGACAATTGTAACACCTGGGGCAAGTGTAACACCTGGGGCAAGTGTAACACCTGGGACAAGTGTAACACCTGGGACAAGTGTAACACCTGGGACAAGTGTAAAACCTGAGACAAGTGTAACACCTGGGTCAAGTGTAACACCTGGGACAAGTGTAACACCTGGGACAAGTGTAACACCTGGGTCAAGTGTAACACCTGGGACAAGTGTAACACCTGGGACAAGTGTAACACCTGGGTCAAGTGTAACACCTGGGACAAGTGTAACACCTGGGGCAGGTGTAACACCTGGGACAAGTGTAACACCTGGAGCAAGTGTAACACCTGGGACAAGTGTAACACCTGGGACAAGTGTAACACCTGGGACAAGTGTAACACCTGGGGCAAGTGTAACACCTGGGGCAAGTGTAACACCTGGGACAAGTGTAACACCTGGGACAAGTGTAACACCTGGGACAAGTGTAACACCTGGGGCAAGTGTAACATCTGGAACAAGTGTAACACCTGGGACAAGTGTAACACCTGGGACAAGTGTAACACCTGGGACAAGTGTAACACCTGGGGCAAGTGTAACACCTGGGACAAGTGTAACACCTGGGACAAGTGTGACAGCTGGGACAAGTGTAACACCTGGGGGCAAGTGTAACATCTGGAACAAGTGTAACAGCTGGGACAAGTGTAACACCTGGGACAAGTGTAACAGCTGGGGCAAGTGTAACACCTGGGACAAGTGTAACACCTGGGACAAGTGTAACACCTGGGACAAGTGTAACACCTGGGGCAAGTGTAACACCTGGGGCAAGTGTAACACCTGGGGCAAGTGGAACACCTGGGACAAGTGTAACACCTGGGGCAAGTGTAACACCTGGGACAAGTGTAACACCTGGGGCAAGTGTAACACC